ATATATATATATATATATATATATATATATATATATATATATATATATATATATAGTAACAATTTAACTACGATATTATATTTTCTTTTTATTTTTAACAAAAAGATTTGTATCGAGATTGGCTTTTGATGAACTACGTACTTCTAGGCGAACTCGTGGCTTGTCTTGAAATATAATATTATTATTTTATCTGATGTTTCAATTTATGTGACACTTTTCAATTGTTAAATGTTTATTTAATTGGTCTTTTGAAGCGTATATTAGATTATCAATTCATTATTTTATTATTTTTAATTAATTTAGAATTATTCGAAAAATACTATAAATTTATAATCGTTCATATGTCAATAAAATCAAAAAATACATTTAAGATTATTGTCATTATTTATATAGTTTGAATCTCAAAAAACAAAAATGTCAAATTTAGAAAGAAAAAAGCTAGCTAATACAAGTGGAAACAATTTAATTTTTATATCCCATGTTTATTATAGATATTTTCGGAGGCGGACCCACATGGTGTCCGCCAGATGCTCGAGCTCCCATTAACTTCGTTACGAAATATATATATATATCTCTATGTAGAAATTGATAGGTATTTGTATAAAATTAATATAGAGCACCCACAACCTTAAATTCCTAGAACCACCGCTGAATATTTTGCTTTGATTTATGTGATTTATCTTCTTTGACCATGTTTTTTCCTTAAATACGTGAATTATTAATTATTATAATTTGATAATATACTATAAGGTTGAATTTGTGTTCTAGATTCTTTTGTTGGTGCCAGCAAATTATATTTGACATTTTGAGGATTTTAGTTTGACTTTGGAATTAAGAGAACAGTGGTGACCTATAATTTTTATTTGATTATTATTGTCTTAATTGTTAATTTCAAAACTTATATTTAAGTCACGGTCGAAGTTTCTAAATTTTCTTATAATTAAAGTTGATAATTTTTAATATTTTAATGAAATTATCAACCTTAGTATATGATAATACTGATTTAATATCAGTTAAGTAAAAATTATCAATTTTACTTAATGAGATTATGGACCGTAATTTTTTTAAGAGAACATATATTTCTTGAATTACTTTAGATTAATATATAAACATATAACATTTTGAGTTTAATGATTTATTTACGTCGTTTTTTTTTAAAAAAAAAATGATTGCGCCTTAAATAACGTTAGTGTAAATTATTTCAATAGAGAGTGTTCAACAAAGATGGGCCTGCTAGTTTTGGGCCAGAATATTGGAGCAGCTTGATAGGCAATTGTTTTTGGGAAACTTACGTAAATATATTATAATAAAATAATATTTATTATTTATAGTAATAATATTTTTTTATTTGATCACTTTTAATTCATCTATAGTACAAGTTTAATACATATTACAAAGATAAATTTGTTATTCAAATATAATATAAGTTTTAATGATGGATAATACATTTATCACACATTTTAATACAATCATAATACAATGTGACAATTTTTTACCAAATAAATATAATATATTTCAAAAACAATTATAATTCAAATATATTGCATACATAATATACTTTTAATACATATTACAGA